CATAATTTTTTTTATTTCATTATCTATCTGAGTTAGGGGGGGGGGGGGGGGGGGAGACACTACAAGGGTGAGGAGGGGATGCTGAGGAACTGGGAGATGGGTAGGATTGGGATGCATGATGAGAAATTCCTATAGAATCAATATAAATAAATAAGCAAACATCAGAAAAAAAAATACCGTGTTGCTAACTTTGAAATGTGATAAGTTTTGTTCAAATTTATACTAAGCAAAACTGTATTGAAAAATTTTATGCCAGGCAGTAGTGGCGCATGCCTTTAATCCCAGCACTCGGGAAGCAGAGACAGGTTGGTCTCTGAGTTCAAGGCTAGCCCGTTCTACAGAGTGAGTTCCAGGACAACCAGGGTTATACAGAGAAACCCCGTCTCAAACCCCTGCTCCCAAACTATGTTGATTTATATTGAAAGAATTTCATAGGTCAATATATGTTATAAATGTAGAAGAATAGAAGACTCGTAGGTAAAATTAAATGATTAAAAACCATTCATGTCACTATGAATCCAAGGTTGACTTCTAAACTGTAGAACTCTAGAATGCCAGAAGCACATAGTCACATGTCAGTGCTTTGCAGGATTAGACTTTAATGCACTGAAAACATAGGTTGATGTAGTTACTGCAGTTTTAATTTTCACATGTTGCTGGTTTTGACTTTTCTAAATAAATAATATCCCATTATTCCTTCAACTCCCTGTCTCCCCCACTTCTCCCATAGCAGGGACAGACCCGTTCTCCCTCACTTCCCTTCCTATGAATTACCACTTCAGGTTCCAGTGGGCCTTTAGAATTACACCTGCAGGATCCCTCCTTTAAAAGCTTGTCAGCTCCCTAACTGGTGAGGTGGGTTGTAATGCCTCAGCCTGCAGAACACATTCTTCATGAAACCACCAGAGGGCACTGTGACATTGCATTCAGCCTGAGTGCTTCCCCTGCAGTTACTTTGAAGACCTTGGTTGGCAGAGAATTTGAATATTCCTACTTGAAAATGGGGTGGTACAATAAATATCATTGCCAGGAGTCATTCTACTTAGTCTATCATTAAATATTTATATAACCGCTAGTTGTGAGAAAACCTGCTTTTTAATTGGACAACAGCAAAGGCCTGCAAGATCCATGTTAATATCAACAGGGCTACTTACTTTTTCTAATGTCGTCATTTTCCAATTGTGAATGTAATTCACTATTTTTTTTTTTTAAAAACTTAGGCTAGATAGAAAATACTGACCCACTCAAAGATAATGTTAACTTTAAAAGAATATAATTACATTTTTTAAAAAAAGTTATGTGTTTGGTCTTTTGCTTTCATGTGTGTCTGTATACCATGTGGGTGCCCAGTGCCCTTGTGTCTCCTGGGATTGTAGTTACAGACATTTGGGTGTTGGGAATGGAACTTAAGTCCTCTGGGAGAGCAGCCAGTGCTCTTAACCACTGAAACCTTGTCCTTTGTTTTTTTTTGTGTGTGTGTGTGTGTGTGTGTGTGTGTGTGTGTGTGTGTGTGCCCTGCTGTGGTGTGAAGGTCAGAGGACAAGCTTCAGGAGTCAGTTCCAGAAACTGAATTCAGGTCAGCAGGCACTTTTACCCACCAAACCATTTTCACAACCACATTGTCAGGCATCTTCTTGTGGTTGTTGCTCTTGTTTTTTTTTTTTTTTTTTAGACAAAGTCTCACAATGTAGCTGTAGAAGGCCTGGGACTTGCTGTGTAGACCAGGCTGGCCTTGAACTCCACTGATGCACCTACAAAATCCCTGAAAGAAGAGGGTTTGGAGACTGTGTGTTCATTTAGTTTTCTTAGGCATAGAATCTTCAGCCTTTAAGCTGCCTTTTGGATGTCTTTTGTATCATTCCTGACTATACCTGCCTGCAGCTAATCACCTAGTAACATTAAAGCTGAAATATATTCATGTGCAAGATGTAAATACGGCTTCCATATGTTCTGGAAGCATCTTTGATTCCAAGTGTAGTTTTAGTTTATTTTTATTTGTGTGTGTGCATACAGTTCCCGTGGAAGATAGCTTGAGCATCAGATCCCCTGGAGCCTGAGCTATAGAAGGTGTGAGTCACGTGGGTGCTGGGAATTGAACTGGTGACCCCTGGAAGAGCAGAAGTGCTCTTAACCACTTAATCTTTCCAGTCCCAAATACAAGTATTTTTAGGTATTTTTAGAAAAAAAAAAAAAAAAAAAAAAAAAAGGTTGGGTGGTGGTGGCAGCACTCAGGAGGCAGAGGCAGGTGATCTCTCTGAGTTGGAGGCCAGCCTAGTCTACAGAGCGAGTTCCAGGACAGCCAAAGCTGCTACACAGAGATACCCTGTTTCGAAAACAAACAAAAAATAAAATTAAAATTAAAAAAAGAAGAAGAAAAGGAAAGAAAAGGAATTAAGATGTTCCCCT